GAATTGTTTTTCATCGGAAAAAATCACCTAAACCATGTAGGAGCTTAGCAATGCACTTTCTAAAATGAGTCAAAACCCTCACTCTTCTCCAGTTTCTTGAAAAAAAAATTCTCTTGCAAACTCGAGTCGGGCTTCGCGATGGCTCCTGGTCAGACGAGGAGCTCGCTTCATCCTCTCCCTCCTCAAGAATATTTGACGACGAACAGCTCGCAATACAGTGGAAGTTGACACACTTAGTGAAAGTCGTGCACGGATCTGATTGGCTCTCATGGTTGAATTGGAAGCCAATCTAGCGATCAGTCTGTGATCGGCTCGTGTCAATTTGAGTGGACGTCCTCCTTCGTGTGCTTGACCATATGCCGCAGGATTCTTCACGAAGCCGTCGATGCAGCGTCTGGATCGGCCGAGTTGTTCCGCGATGGCCTTGTTGCTATGGCCTGCTTGACGAAGCGATAGAATTTGGCATTGTTCTGTTGAAGATAGACGACGACGCTTAGGCAAGGTGGACTGCTTTGGATTGCGGACAGGACAGCTTTGGACAGAAGGCGGTAGGGCTGCGCGGACCTGAGATATTTCGTAGCAATGACGGCATGGCATAAGCATTTGACGCGGCTAATTTTCACTCCCGCCAAGAAAAGGGCGCTACCGCCGCGTTCAAATATGTTTAGGCTTTGTTGAGACTCTTGTTCACTCAGTAAATGTTGGTCAACATTTCAACTCGCAATGTTGCCTAACAAATCGGATAAAAGAAAAAATAGGGGATGGCATATGCAATTGACGCGCACTGTAGATACTACAGTGACTACAGGGAGCCCTAGGGATTTGTCAGGGCACACATATTTTTCGGGATTTGATTTGCCATTTTCAGATTTCCGTTCTTTGTTCTTTTTCTTCCGTTGCTTTTCATTCTTTTTGGTTCTCAGAACCAATGACCTAGAGTTCATACTAGTCGAAAAATGAAAAACTGATACATTGCTTCACTTTCCTCTCATTAGGTGTGCGGTGGGTCTTTACAACATTGTAGTGGAATAGCTAGGGTAGCGCCCACCATAAGGGAGCTAGCGGCGGGCGCCTCTGGGACACCACGCTTTTTGTTAGCCATTCGGGGTTGTCGGAGAGGAATATCAACATTTATGGCCAGCCTGCCAGCCTTTGGTTCTTTTTTTGCTACGATACATGTTATCTGTCAATTCATTCACAGTAGTTTTCTTGAAATGTTGTTCTGTAAACCCTTGATGTTGCATAAGGGGAGCAATTAAATGATTGACTGCTGATTATTCTGAAAAGTTCTCCCAGTCATATAATTGTCACTTCTGCAAATAGTCAACTGTTTTTGTTTGAGATTAGTGAAAATATTTGCTACTCTATCAAATTCTTCAAATGACGAAAATCTGGGAAGCATTTTAGATCTTCGCAGAGTTGCCTCCGCTTATCCGGGAGTCAGACTTGCAAATTTCCCAGCTTTGTTTGAAGTGTATCACCGGTTGGTTTGCTAGTATAATATTTCTTTTTAGTTGAGCAGCCTTTTTCGCCTAACACTTCGATCTAAAAGTGTGTGAACTGGTATTGCTACTACTGCTTGGTTTTTGTTGTTTTAATCTCATGACATTTGTTTAATTTGTGCAGGTTGGATTCACAATCTGTTGAATTTTCGATCTGCCGTTGCAGGATGATAAAAAGTTCTTTCAGTTGGTTTACAAGCATATCCCGATCGCGTTGCACCGCAGCTGGGAGCCATACTTTCATCTGTCATTCACCTTTCGCAGTCAGCATTGTTGCAGGTGAATTTTTCGATCAGCTTATATAGTGGTCTACTTTTCTTGAATTATACAGACATCACTTTGTAACAGGTTTTCTTGTAGGGCGCCACTCTGCAGGCATCTCTTGACATGATTCAAACTCTAGTTTCCAATCCAGTGCCAGGAAAGCCAGAGTTCGAGGTAAGGACAATCATGTGACCGAGCAATTAAGTAGCAGTCTTTAAGTGATTTTTACAGGAATTGCTTGATCAGCTCACGGCTCCTATCTATGATGTTCCGAATTTATCTAGACAGGCTTTCCAATCAATCTCTGCCGCAACCGGTGTCGTTGCTGCAGCTAGCGGAGATATAGAAAAGGTTTACTGAGTTTACCATGTTTTGCTTTTATGTTCTGGCAAAAGTTTTGTATGAACTGATTTGGCTTTGACTGTACTGCCTTCTTTTCTGTAGTTTGATCCGTGCATTCTCACGCTCAAGTAGAGCAAAACTGCTACCAGTAGATATAATAATGTTCTATCCGATAGTTCCATCATCGGAGGTTTATACGGTATTCGTCTGTCAACAGTTCTAACTTCCATTTATTTGGAATCATGTATCTCCGTTCTTGAATGAACTGAAAGAATCCAATTCACAGAGAGCACAATCCACGTATTGACTTTATCCAGGTGTCCAACACCGTCCTCATAAATTATTGTACAGGCACGATCGTTGGCGGAAAAATTGGCGGATCAACTGCAAAATGAAACTTCTACAGATGCAATTCGTTTATTCAGTGTTCATGCCCTCGGTGAATTAGGTCGTCGCTGTCCCAAGGTCTATGAAAATGGCCATCTCGAGTTGGTTTCAGTTTGTTTAATCATAGGAAGATTTGCAATGATCACTTTCCTTCATTTGCAGGCCTGAGAAGCTGATTATCCCTGCATTCAACTCCAGCTCAGAAGATTTGAAGGCAGCAGCTGCTCAAGCGCTTGGAGCTCTTGCAGTTGGTAACCATGCACGCTTCTTGCCCTTCATATTAAATGAAATTCAAACGCAGCCAAAGAGACAGTACCTACTTCTACATGCTCTCAAAGAGGTGGGTTCGACATATCATGTCGAGAACTGTTGATCGCATTTTCATGTTCAGGTAATCGGCCATGAGTCAACAAATATCGTACCTATCGAAGTGTTCCGTTCTCGCATCAGTGAGATTTGGCCAGTGCTTGTGGACCACGCAGATGGGAACGAGGAAGGAACCAGGTTAGCGCTTCCCAGAAATGAAGAAGTTGCTCTTATAACAACGGTCACAATATTCGAGGTGATCTGCGTAGAAAGAGTTTCATTTCATTGGTTTTCTTCTAGAAAATGTAAAGTTGATTCTGTCCTAATTTACAAGAACGTAACTTCATTTCAATCAAATTCTTAAATCACGGTCAGTGCTTTAATGAAGTTGGAGCATTGTACTTGGTCTACATCGTTGATTTCTCGGGTCTTGATGGCCCTTAAACATGTGAGGTTTCAACTGCTAGGGTTTCATTGCATGGGAGGGCACCCGAACATTCAGACTCAGAATATCGGCTCAAGTCCCTCTTCATTGGTATTCTTTGCATCGTTTCGACTTATTATCGCAGTCAAATGCGACGAATATAGCTAAAGATCAGCGTTTACCGATCTGTGATTGTTCATCTTAAATCTTTTGCATTTACATCAATCCAGATCACGAGAGAATCTCCTTTGAACTCCTTCGATATGTTTGCTTTCGAAAGCGTTTCCAGTTCCTCCATATCGCAGAAAGCTTTGCTTGAATTTAACATTCTCATTCCTGTTGTGGAAGAACCTTTGGCGTTTATTTAGGGTACCGCATGAATGAAAAAGGTATTTAATGGGATCTGGTGATAAATGGATTAAAATCTGCATATGTGACATTCCAGAAATGTTGTTGCTGAGTGTCTGGGCAAGTTGAGCGTGATTGATCCTCATGGCCTTCTGCCGGAATTGAAGGTGATTTATTGTCTTTACCGAAAGGGCATGCTTTCAAGAAGTGACAGCATATACCCATGCGATACTGTTCTGTTTCTATGGTATCTCTTATCGAAGTGTCGTAAATGACTGGACTCTCTAGAGCTTGGTGACTTCTCCGTCTGCTCGAGTGCGTTCTGCCGCAGTAACCGCAGTGAAGTACATGATTTCGGACGAAAAGAGACCTGTTGATGCTGTTCTCCAACAATGCATTGGTAAGTTTTTTCGTTTGATATTCACTGGTTATCGAGAGGTAGGCTTAAGCGAGGATCGGAATAAGCAGCGGCCGATGATAGAGGTTTCAATAAGGAAGTTGGTGTCGTGCAAAATTTCTATTTCTGTAACATTGCAGGCGAATTCCTGCAGACAATGACTGATTCCGATCTCAATGTTCGTCGTGTCGCGCTTGTGGTTTTGAATTCGGCTGCTCACAATAAGCCATCATTGGTATGTCTTTTTCAATTTGTTGTCTCATGCAATCCGTGCGGATGTCCTGATTGCAAAAAATTTAGATTCGCAATCTTCTGGATGTTTTGCTGCCGTCTGTCTATTCGGAAACTCAAGTGCGAAAAGAGTTGATTCGAGAAGTCGAAATGGGACCATTCAAGCACCAGGTTGATGATGGTTTGGATCTTCGCAAGTCCGCTTTTGAGTGGTGCGTTTTTATACGTCGGCTGTGTATGGCAATTTGACATGCCCCTATCATGCAGTAATTCCTTACAGTATGTACACGTTATTGGAAAGTTGCCTGGAGAAATTGGAGATCTTCGAATTCATCAATTACGTTGAAAATGGGTTGAGGGTGAGCTAATCGCACCTGTTCTTTTTTGCTTTACACTTTTAGTGGTATGCAATTTCTTTGAGGATATGCATCATGACATCCGTCTCTTGAGCTACCTTATGCTAATGAAGCTAGCGATGCTCTGTCCGAGCCAGCTCGTTCAACGCTTGGACAAGATTTGCGAATCATTGAAGGTTTGCTATCTTTAATATCTTGCCATTCCTGGTTATTTCGCTGAAGAGATGTCTTAAGACTCAATTGCAAACGAAACCGAAATCCAATGCCGTCAAGCAAGAAATCGACAAGCAAGATGAACTCAAACGAGCCGTCATTCGGGTGGTTCTTGCTCTTCAGGTAAACTTATTTTAGATTGTATTTTTCGGTCTAGAATTGTCACTTATAGCATAAGTGCATTGTGCTCGAAAGTGGCTGAACTCAGTCGTAAAGTAATGCACCAGTTTCTTCTTTTCGATTCCATACAGTGCTGGTGCCACTTTGTTCGTTTTGTATATGGACTTGACCATCTAGGCTTTAAGTAGGCCTTCCCTTGTCCCGTCTTGTTGGTACCCGTCACTTTGGTAGAGACTAANTAAGATCAAATTCAACGGACTAATGTAAAATTCACTATTTCCAACAAAGTGGTATTGTTGGCCTCGAACTTTCAGTTAGCTATGTTTACTGTCATGCTTATTGACAAACATTCGTTTACACCTAGTCGCAGTTTTGATGTTGCGTCAGCCATTTGAAGGACCTAATTTTTTCAGAAAATCCCTGATGCAGAACGCCACCAGCAACTGGTCGATGTTGCGGCCATGATGCGATCCTCAGCTGAGCTTCGAGCCCTCACCGAAGTCGTTCAACGAGATGCTATGAGGACTTTTGCAGTTGGAGATGTTCCTATGGATACTATCTAATCAACTGCTCCGCTTAATTCCGCACTGTCTTTGCTGCTTGATTCTCGTTATTCTGTGTGGACGTTCTCCACCATCCCAGGTTTCTGGTATCGGTACAGTCTATCATAGACGCGCTACAGCAGAATCTGCTACATTTTCCAATTTATCCTTAATAAAAATCGCTCAAGCGGCTTGCGGCGTTCTCTCTTTAATAATTGCGCGGTTCCCATAGTTTAAGTATGTCTCAAAGTCGATTTTTTGACTTTATTTTATTTCCTTTTCTTTCGTAAAGAAAGTTGCTAATAGAATTTCTTCACGGTTTCTAAGAACAACTTCAGTTCAGCTTCATCTGCCTTTGATCCTCCAAAGCTAGTTAGGATCTGATCTATCTTATACGACTTCCTTAAGTAGCTTTTAAGAGTCTGAAATTTGTCTAAACGGACCCGGTGCACTTCTGTGCTACTGTATTTAATTGAATTCATTGAATTTGTACAAGCCGGTGAAGATTGTTTTGTGAGAGCTTTTTTTGAAAATTAAATGTTATTTGAATACATTTTACCTATAGAGTTGCGTAAATGACATAACAATCTGAATTACGATAGGACAATGGGCCTTAGGTTGGGCTTGAGGGTGTAGCTAGGTAGAATTAAAATAAGCGAAATTACCGTGATGATTGTAGCCATCTTGCCTCGTATTCCGATTCTTTGGCTACCAATTTTATCGAGGAATTGTTGAGAACGGATTCCATCAGTACCCATCTGAGGCTCTGTTTCTTCGACCTGAAGCCTTTTCTCCGGGAAAGGTACACATGAAACATTCTGGGTCATGCATTTCCCTGAGACCTGTTTCATGGCATCAAACTGGTCTGGGAGGATAACTTACATGAAAGTGGTAGATACTTGGAGGGAGCTATAGTAGTGGGTGGTGTGATGAGCACGATGATAACGAAGGAATTAGTCGAGAGTATAAAAAGTAAAGGCACAGTTCACAATAAAAATGGTTTCTGAGATGTTCCTATAGTATGAATTCGAGGCTCTCCCTTATACCATGCCTGCCGTTATAAAGTAGAAAAACGGCTTGGATAGGGCACAATGAGGGGCCAGAGATTGAATCGTGTGGATGCCACACCCATAGTGTACGAGTTTCAATGGCTTTGTAGAGGCTACACTTTCTCGAGGGTTTCCCATGTAGGAAGTTCTAACAACTTGCCATAACCAAAGGCGTCATTGAAAGGCAGTTCCGGGCAATTTGGGCTTGATGTAGTAATCTTTTTGCGCAATCGTAGCAAGTTGGATCTCGTCCAAATACCTTTACATGCCATGCCCGTCAAGATGATCTCGTTCAACCTTCACTTCCGCTATTTCTAGAAAGCCTTGAAAACTAAGCCAACTTCCTCGCTTTCTTCGCCACCTGTGTACTCCTCTACATCAACACACCTGAAAACGGCACCTCGAAATTATCGTGAACTGTGCCTTTAAGCTGAGACGTTGCCGCAAGCACAAACCGAACTAGTATGAAATGGGTTCTTTTGGCTAAATCAGTTGGGCTCCGTGCATTAACGCATGCGTCACCGTAAAGACCATATCGAACAGAGATGATTTTTTTGGTCTGAGCTCCAACTTTCGAGAAACTGTCTATAGTTTGTGGTGCGTTATATATTTATGCAGAAACTTCGAAAACACTCCGCTCACCCGTCTTCACCCACTCCCTACCTTTCCCAACATCCGGTTTTAGGGCATTTTGTTAAACGAACTGCGAAGTTATTCTCGTTTCATACACCATTTCAATGCATGTTCCAGCTCATGCGATCAGAGTTCCCCGTAGCTCATATGTGCTCTACAGATCTTGCCCGAGGGTCCATCCATTTCAGTGTGACCCGACCTCTTCAGGTGTTTCTACAGTGGGTGTCCCTGACGCTAGTGAAAGCCTTCCCTGGAAATAAACTTTAAACCCATAGTGCTACCTCTATCGACCATTTTAACCNAATAAGTTCACTCTTCCAAAAGTGCATCGTATTGAGCAACACCGTTTTCTTTGCTTCCAGTATTCCTCTCTTACGAATTATCGGGTAGGCTTGCAAGCTTTCTCTGCATTGATAAATTAATTTGGGGACTGGATCTGTGACGAGATTTTTTGTATTAGAGTTTTGCAATTGATGGCATTTCCATGAAAGCACTTTTCGCTGAAGCAATTGCACTCATCCACTTCGGAGCCGGCGGTAGATCTGCTATCCACAGAACGTAAGCTCTTTACTAGTGGACCTCTTTCTGTCTTCAATCCCTCCTAGGGTTTGCTAGTGTGCGGGCTGATGTCCACTCGAATGGTCGTAATGGCGGTGATACAGAGTGAAATTTGAGAGCATGGCGCAAACTTCGAGGGCTTGACCAAAATGCAATATCTCACTCCTCAACCTTCCTCTACCTTCTCATTTTTCGTGTTTGCGACTTTTCGCTTCCTACTAAGCACAGCTATCCTGTTGGGGTGTTCGGAAAGTAATTGCCAAAAATTGCACAAAACTTCAGGTTTCTTTGAGGAATGCTCCCAATTTCCAACGAAATCAGAATTAGAAACATAGTTACAATAGAAGTTCTCCCATGGGACAGGAAACACGAAATGGAAGGAAATTGAAGACGCTATTGTTACACTCTGCCTTCATAAAACTTTACCCCCATGCGCATTCCATGTCTGGGGGATTTCACGATCGCAGTCTGATGACCGGATTAAAGCTCTTTTTTTCTTCTTGTTTTGGACTTTGAAACGTGGAACGAGGTGTGCAAAGAATCGCGCAGAAGGTGTTTCAAGGTCAAACATTTGGCACAAGTTTCTATGGGCTTCTTCGGCAGCGGTGTGGTCAGGTTCGAAACCTGAGAGGCGTAGGTGTCGAATATGGGGAGACACACTGGCTAGTGCGCAATTAAATAAGCAACGAAGAGGGAACCGGGCATGTCATACACTTGTGAGTGGGTAAGGTCCTTTCCAAATCTATAAAAAGTTCTAAAACGTTCCAGTAAAGAATTTGAACGATTCCGGAACTTTTGGAAGACTGGAAGACTCTGGAAGACTTTTTGAATGTTCTCATAGTAGTAATGATCTTATACAATTCCAACAAGCAAAAGTAGGGAAACATTTGGAACCTAGCGAAAATCCTAATATTCTCATGAGGGAATGGCCTCATCTGGGGTCACCTTCAGCACGTTTTATCGTATTTACATAATTCTACTGGGGTTGTAGTTACTCACATTAAGAAGCTCAACCGACGTCCAACTGGTTTAGGAAACTAGAAACCGGGAACTCTGAAACCAATTGGAGTGATCACCCCATGCAGCGCCCTTCCCTGGACCGTAGAAGATCTGATCTTTCATCTGATCAGGCTTCTCATGCAGAAAACACCATGGCACCAGTTTCTGTCACAGATTTCGTAGAACGGGATTCAAAGAGGGTAAAGTGTAACGACTAATAAACACTAGAGTCGACAAGCGCTTCTTCCACTCAACTTCCACTGAGCCCATGGCTGTCTCTAGTGGCAAGGAAAAAATTGCTAAATTCAGAGACTCGTTTCAGATCTGATACGTCGGCTTTCATCAGCTAATACTCGTCGCCTTTGACTCTTTTTTGTGAAATCGTCGACCGATTTTCGTTGTGCTCCAAAATTGCCTTCACCAGAACCGGATTCTTCTGCGAGAGATGCAGGGGTTTTTTTTTATGTTCGTCTTTGTCTTCTTTCTAATATCAGTCGTAGCTTTTGGACAGATAAAGGCGAATGATTAGGTGTTTCGGCCTTCGTTGGTACCTGCACCACACGTTCCGATACCTGGTTTGCTTTATCTCCTTCTCTTCCTTCTTGTTGACTAGCCTTCCCGTAGTGTGTCCTGAATAGTTGCTAACAGTGATCCATATCACAATATCCGAATAAAAGAGATGGCTTTTTACGAAGGCTCATAAGGGTGTGCAATAGCGGATCGGAGGAGATCCTGACCTAGCGGCTCAAATCCCTAAAGGGCACTTTGAGGCACTGTAGGATATCGATTAAGTGCCAGTTCTGGATTGAGGGTATTTCTACACATAACGCGAAACCTGCTTCACCTGATCAACTGGTTTTTCTTTNTTCTCTTCCTTCTTGTTGACTAGCCTTCCCGTAGTGTGTCCTGAATAGTTGCTAACAGTGATCCATATCACAATATCCGAAGAAAAGAGATGGCTTTTTACGAAGGCTCATGTGGCACTGTAGGATATCGATTAAGTGCCAGTTCTGGATTGAGGGTATTTCTACACATAACGCGAAACCTGCTTCACCTGATCAACTGGTTTTTCTTTTTTGTGCCGCCGACAGCTTCACCTCAAGATGGAGTTAGGGTGTCATTCACGGTAATATGGTGGTTCGTTGTGTCCTATTAAGTGCGATTACTTCCCCCTTGCCTTCCTCTTGTGCTTTCACAACTTTCGAACACCGTCTTGTTTTTCCTCAATTTAACGATTTTCCTGATTACTGATTTACTGCTGAAGGCGATGACCACTCTCACTCGGGGCAGCAAAATGACCGTTAAAGAATAAATCAATTTATAAGAAAACCTTAAAGCATCTTTTGTTCTGTCACTAAGCCCTTGATGCATGAAATCTCTATATGCTCTACCAGATTACAGACAATTATTTAGACAATAAGGTTTTGCGGTCAAGTCTCTACCTCATTATGACAGATTTGATAATTCATGCAGCTTAATTAAAGTTTGACTTTAAAAAATTCTTTGTTTCAACGTGATCGCCTTCTTAGAATCTGAAGATGCAGATTCCTCTCATCCCTTCCAACCCTTTCTTCGAAAGCTTTTCCCCTTTCTCTGCTTCAAACTCTCCTTTATCCCTATTGCGTATGTGCTTCCGAGTGATATCCCTCCCATTCAAACCATCCGTCGTTCTTCTGATTCAATTACTGCTTTTCTTTCTGTCAGCCCTATTAGCAATCCGGTCTGAGATACGCATCGAGGAGCTAATAGGTGGAGGAGGTGAGATGGGCGAGGAAGCGCACT